AGCTGGACTGAGTTGAGATAATGAACTAATTACTAATCAACTCAAGGTACCGATCCTGCCTACAAGAGACAGGCCATTTCCTCCTGGCTGTGGAGGATGCAACAGCATCCTTGGTGCCACAGCCCAGGCTGGTGAGCAACACACACAAACTACTTTTAGATGCAAAGCTCCTTCAAGAAACAGCCCAAAGCCCCTCAGTTCTCAACGGGCTAGTCTGAAATTAAGGGGATCTTTTTAATTCAAGCTGTTCTGATGAAGACAAAAGGCAAAGGGACATCTCCTCATTAATTTGTATTTTCTAACAATTTCTTCTTTTAACCTCAAACCTTCCAGAAAATATTTAGCAAGTAATAAAGCCACATCTGTTAACCTCCAAGTGGAATGTTTTAACTTTACTTTAACAAATTAGCGAGGAAAGAAGTGTCCAAATCAGGCCTTTTCCCAGGCAGTGGCTACTCCAGCTCCTTAATGAATCACTGGACTGGAAGCACAGAAGTGCCATTAGCTTTCTAAGAGTGATTATCACAAACAGCACATCATACCTCCAGCACTTGTCACTTGTCATTTTCTATCAAGAAACTCCTGTGTCCAAATTAACACAAAGCCCAGGGAAAGCAAACGAGAGCAGATGTAAGAATAGGCTGCGTGACTGCTTTTGTGATTTCTCCATCAAGTCTGCCAGAAAGAGAGCACGCTGGGAGAGGCTGGGTGATGTTCTCGATATGAACGCGTTAATGTTCTCAGCTGAGTGTGCCTTTGGGACATGTGCTATTTGGGGCACGACAGCTTTGATGCATATCAACAGCATCCCTGCTTGCTCTGCAAGGAGGTGGATGCAGGCATCCAAGGGTGGGCTATCTGCAATGCGGGGAAGAGCTCACCAGGAACAGAGAGGAGATGAATGTCAGCTGTCCAGTCTGTCCCCTTTCAGTGTCTTTTTTTGTTTGGTATGGGTTGTTACTCTCTCTTTTGCACCTATATCATAGGGTTAACCAAGCAATGTAATGGAGTACTACATAAGGCTGGAAGGGATCCTGAGAGGTCATTCAAGGTACCCCTATGCTCTCAAGACAGAATTAGATCTATCAGGGCAGCTTTAGAGTAACTCCTGCAGTTTCCTGTGACTGCTAACGCAAGTAAGGCCCAACGCATCCCAAAGCACAGAAACAAGCACCTCACGGTCAAAGTTCTTCACTAGGGCTCTTGTTTTCATAGAATCATAGAATGGTTTGGGTTGGAAGAGATGTTAAAGATCATTTAGTTCCAACCCCCCCGCCATGGGCAGGGACACCTTCCACTAGATCAGGTTGCTCAAAGCCTTGTCCAGTGTGTATTCTGGATTGAATATGGAGGTGGACCACAGAAGGTCTGACCAAGGGAAGCAATAAGCAGAAGCAAAAGGAGTATTTCACATCAGCAAGCAGAAAAAGGGTGTGCAACACCACGGGGAAAAACTAAATGAAAAGTTAGGGACGTGCTATTGCTGTAAACTCTCATAGCACCGTTAAAATAAGGGTGCGTCAGCCGAGAGATCAGTTCGAGTTTGTGGTGGAAAATGTTCTGCTATTCCTGACAAGTGGCTCATTGCTGGGAAGAAATGACACAAGGTTTCAGTTAGGAAGCTGACCCAATAATAAAAGGTACTGTTGGACTTTCCTTCCACAGCAGAGATGTCAACACGATAATCTACCAAGATCTATCATCCCAGCGTCAGAGCCCAGGCCTTCGGAGTTAATAACAGAGCAGTTGTTTATGCACAGTCCACGTATCCAGTGCCAGAGGAATGGCGAGCATCACGAGCAAGCTGCTATAAATAGCCTGCGCACCCGAGGATATGGCTCATATCTTTATTCCAATTTACGTAAGCCTCTCCGGACCCGCGGCGCTTCTCGCTCTGCCCTCCGCAGTTACGGGGCGCTGCCAGCGGAGCGCAGAGCCGGGTCTGATTCCCCCCCCCGCGGCTACTTCTTCGCCTCCTCCTGCCCGGTCCTCTTCCACCGCAGCCGGGTGCGGGCGTACCGGGGGGCACCGGCACTGCGGGGCCGCACCGCGCTCCTCTGCCCGACTCTACCCACCCCGCACAAACACAAGCACAAAGCA